GACGACTACTACTACTACTACGACTACGACTACTACTACTACTACTACTACTACTAGCTACTACTACTACTACTACTACTACTACTACTACTACTACTACTACTACTAGTACTACTACTACTACTACTACTACTACTACTACTACTACTACTACTACTACTACTACTACTACTACTACTACTACTACTACTACTGCTACTACGTCGAACTCGAACTCGAACTGGAGCTCAAACCTCCTTCCCCCCCCCGGGCTGCGCTCGCCCGGTTGGTGGTCGAACTCGAACTGGAACTCGAACTCGAACCACCCCCCCCCCCCCCCCCCCCCCGAGATTTTTTATCACGTCGAACTCAAACTCCACCTCGAACTGGAACTCCAACTCCCTGGGGCACGCTGCTACGACTGCAACTACTAGTACCAGTCCTACGACTGTTACTACTGCTACTACTACTACTACTACTACTACTACTAGTACTGCTACCCCTACTACTACTACTACTACTACTACTACTGCTGCTACTACTACTACTACTACTACTACTACTGCTACCACTACTACTACGACTACTACTACTACTACTACTACTACTACGACTACGTCGAACTCGAACTCGAACTCGAACTCGAACTGGAACACTTCCCCCTCCCCTGGGGTACGCTCTGCAAAATCCTGAACCTTAATAGAACCTTAGCCCTAAACCCTAAAACCCTAACCCTAAACCCTAAGCCCTAAACTCTAAACCCGTCCGACGCAAGTCCCGAGGCCAGCGCCGTGATCGCACGCAACGTGGCCATGTACGGTGCGTCTCCGAAGGGCAAGCTCGGAGCCACAGTTCGCAGTCTTTGGGGCTCCCTTTAAAGGATCTACATGGGCTCCATTTGGGAGTTTCCGAGAATTAGGGTGCCTCATTTTTAGGGGTCCTCATAATAAGGATCCTACTATTTAGGGTACTATATGCTTAGGGCTCCCTTTAAAGGATAGGGGCTTAGGGTTTAGGATTTAGGGTTTGGGGTTCCGGGTTCAGGGTTTAGGGTTAAGGGTTGATTTAGAGGCTCCATTTAACGGTTCCTTTGAGGGGATCAGGTTTCAGGTTCAGGGTTTCAGGTTTGGGTTTCAGTGGTTTGGGCTTTGCCGTGGAGTAGCGCGTAAGCAAAAGTATCTTGCGAAACCTCAAAGCCTAAACCCCGAATCCATCTAAACCCCAAGCCCGAGATCCATCTAAACCCCAATCTAGGCCCCCAGCACGAAAACCCGAAATGTGCAGTTCTTTATCGCAATATCGAACACCGTGCCTTGCGTTCTGGATGACGGCGGCCCCGGAACCACAAAAGGCGGCTAAGATGAAAGCCTCAACAACCCATAATGTTTGTTAGTGAGGGCTCCTGAATACGTTTATACAGATATATATATATATAGATAGACAGAGAGAGAGAGAGAGAGAGAGTACGATATGCCCCAAAACCCGTTTGTAATTAGTTAAGCCCTTCATGTTAAAGGCAGACTTTAGCTTTACACTAGGATTTTCGGGCTTGCATGCTTTTTGTTTATTGGGATTGGGGATGTTCGCGCGTTGGCGCTTTTATTCGGTTTGGGATTTCTACGGCTTGTCAGATTGGTCGGGCTGTTCATTCATGGCTGTATGATGTCACACGGGGCATTGGGATGAACGGTACTGAGCTTCAAGTACATGCTCCCTCTGAGTAAGCAGGGTGCAGGTAGGAAGAGCAGACCCTTGGAAGAATTCCTTTCCAGGAATCCCGAGTATGGAGTCGTAACTCGCAAAGTTTCAGCCGTGACGAGCAGCTACTACAACAACTACTACTACTGCTACTACTGCTACGACGACTACTCCTACTACTACTCCTACTACTCCTACTACTCCTACTACTCCTACTCCTACTACTACTACTACTACTACTACTACTACTACTACTACTACTACTACTACTACCACGACCACAACCAACACCAACTCAAGCACCTTTCATGCCCGAGCACTTAGGCGGGCGCACTGGCGAACGCACAGAGACAAGGCCGGACCCCCGGTCTCGGCGATTACCTGGGCTTTGAAGTACCATACTTTATGTAATACTTTTCTTCTTAAAGGAACCATTATGATATACAAGTTGTTTACTTTCTTCTCCCTGGTTACTTAAAAGAAGCCCAGTTACTCACCTTTTACTTACTGTCAGGGGCCCATTGCCGCAGCACCGTTCTAAGCCCCCGTGTGATGGTGGAAGCTCTTGATACTCCGGCTTCTTTGGCCTCGGGAGCATGCTTCCGCGAAGCGAGAAAGCCTGCAGGACATTTATCAGGCTTGGTTAGGATTCAGGGTTTAGGATTCAGTGCCAGCATTGAGGGTTCAAAGTTTGGGGTTTAGGTGTCTCTTGAATGTGAAGAAGATGAATCTGAAAGCACCGAGCACTGGGCCAGCTTCTCCAACGCCAAGCACGGAGCATGCCTGAGGTCTGCACAGGCCAACAAGCCAAAGGAGTCCTTAAATTAAGAAATATAATACAACCTGGAGGTAGCTTCCTTAATTAAGGTGTTTTGGGCATGACCCCGCTTAAAACTGAATGCAAATGTCAACCCCGGGCCAAAAAGGTACCCTAGATGACCCAGGCCCAAAATCTTACAGCATAAATACCCTAAGCCCTGAATCCTTATAGCCCCCAAACGGCCCGAGCGCTGCACGAGGTGCGCTGGTACAAGAGAGGAGAGCTCCAAGCAAAGCGCGCCCTGGCCCTTGGGCGGGCGCCACAGACCTTGCTTAATATCACAATTTAGGGTTTAATAATTGTTGGGTTCCTTCTTTAAAATATACTTATACTAGACTACTACAACCCCCGTATAAAAGGATCATGGCACTTGCTAACTTAAAGGCCTCCTCAAAAGGATCTATAGGGTTTACAGGGCTTAGGGGATCATGAGACTTGGTAACAACAAGGGCTATAGCTAGTTAGGTATCTACAGTTGCAATTATACTTCCAGCCAAGGTGTCGCTTACTAAGATTCAAGTGGGGTTTGAGTTCGTATGCCGTGGAGTGTTTTCCTCTTTACGGTTCATTATTGTTTCGGTTTACACAGCTTCAAAGGCTGTTCAGGGTTTTAGGGTTGTCCTATAGTCTCGTTCTGTCTGCCTGTCCGCCCACCTCAAGGCTTGGAGTAGCATATAGACAATGGAGAACGCACGGAGCACGGCCATTTCGATGAGTCCCAGTTATGGGTAGGCTTGGAGTGAGCCGTTACTTCGCACATTCCTGTATCCCCAAACCCTACAACATGGTAGGTTACTTGGAGGGTCGGGGGACTTAGTAAGTAGATATAAGTACCCTAAAAGGGACCGTAATTGGGGTTATGGTACTTATAAGTCCCTAAAAGTAACCACTTACTAAGTCCCCCGACCCTCCAAGTATGACCCCTTAATTAGGGGGTCAAACCCCCAAAACAGTAGGTTTTTGGATCCCCAGGTTGTTATGGCGGTTTTTGATGCGAGTCCAGCGCGGTACAGGTAGTGCCCACGACCAAACATACGATAGGGGTGCCTGAAAAAATGACCAATACTTTATTGGGGGGTTCCTTGTTATACTTATAATAGTATAACGGGCCCCAAAGCCTTAATTACTCTATTTGTTAAGACCCTTTTAGTGCGAGGATGCATTCCGTTACCAGCCTTGCTGAGGCGTGGTATCAGGAATGGCACCATCGACTTCATCTACGGCAAGCCACAGGCCATCGTCAAATACTGAGGGCTGCTACTGCTACTGCTGCCGCTGCTTCACAGCAAATACTAGTACTGCTTCTACTGCTGCTGCTTTTACTGTAAACCCTACCACTAAAACAATAGTAATAGCAACCATATGACAGTCCTACTCCTACTACTGCGACTGCGAGTACTACTACTACTACTACTACTCCTCCTACTCCTACTCCTACTCCTACTCCTACTCCTACTCCTACTCCTACTCCTGCTCCTACTCCTACTCCTACTCCTACTCCTCCTACTACTCCTACTACTACTACTACTACTACTACTACTACTACTACTCCTGTCACGGTTGCTACTGCTGCTTCTCCTGCTTCCGCTGCTGCTACTGCTGCTGTCAGCTGTCCTCGGGACCCGGCTGTACGATATGTTGTAATGAACTCGCAGCGCCCAATCTTCGGTCAGCAAATGCCACAGTAGGCAGCCTTTGACCACTTCGGGGTGCTAGAGTCCCTATAATCCCAAAGTTTATATATCCGTTAGCTCCCCGAATTGAAATGGCTTGCAGGATGACGACGACGATGATGACTTCGACGATGAGTGCCCTGCCTGCACAAGCGTGTGCGCAGTCCTTCGGGGAAGTAATTTCCCCCAGGCACTTGCATCAAAACACAGACCCCCGGGAGGATCCAAAAAGTAGATCCCTTAATGGGGGTTCCTGGAGAGTACCCGTAGTAGTAGAGGGCCCAAAGTAGGGGATCTACTTTCTAGATCCTCCCGGGGGTCTGGGAAGGCTCAGCAAAAAATCAGTGGCAACAACCGTCTCCAGAGCCTCCGGAGCAGCAACATAGTACCGGCAGCCTTCCAAAGACACGGAGATGTCCGTGTGATAAGGACTTGCCGTCGTCAATGTCGTCACAACCATCACCGTGACCAAAGACAGCATAAGCTGCAGCAGTGGTGCCATCATCACCGTCATCATCATCAACAAGAGCAACAGCAACACCAGAATCAACATCACCATCTTCGACAACGCTTTTTGACCACAGCTGCACCACCATCGCATCAGCAGTTGCACCACAATGTACCCGCATTCAGAGTTCGAACCTCGATACAGCATTAGGTCGCAACCACCTCGCCACAAAATGGACGCCAGCACTCTTGGGCTGGCTTCTGTCGTCATATTGTGGCAAAGTTCTTCTGCGAGTTGGTGGCTAAGTCTGCTCGACACGACTGAACCGAGGTACGATGATGAGGAAGATGACGACGAGCTTGAAAGTCAGTCTCTCTCCTAGGCCGAAGGCTACATCCGCTGCTCTTGACCGCGCATGCTTCATTTACAGTTAATGCTTCACAGACACATGGTCAGATATCCGGAAAGTAAGCTTTGATAGGCTTTTGTTCCTGCTTTGTCGTGACAGAGGAAGCTATCCACCTGCTGCGTGGCTACAGTTGGATTACGAACACGAGAGACTGTTGTAGACCAAACCCTAAACCCTAAACCAACGCGCAAACCCCAAACCCATGGAGACTGCATGAGGTAAAGATCGGTCTATTCGCACAGGAAAGCAGCCAGGTGATTAGCAAACCTGACAACGTCTTCTTCGCGCGTGGCACTGCAGCAAAAGCCGGCTGACGTCCTTGCGGTTTGGGGATGTCTCGTCGTTTGCAACATTGCACGTCGGACTCAGGTCAGCTCGTGAGAACTGCTTGTGCTTGTGTCTGCCATCGGAGTAGCGGCGGGTGGTACTTAAAGGGGTGATGGTGGTGGCAGTGATGGTGGTGGTGGTGGTGGTGGTGGTGGTGGTGGTGGTGGTGGTGGTGGTGGTGTTGCAGTGGCGTGCTTGTGTACCGTTTGTCGTAGCAGGGTAGTGGCGTCAGTGGCGGTAACGGTGCTGGTGCCTGGTGTGGTGGTGGTGGTGGTGCTAGTGGTGCTTGCGGCCTGTTTGTAGTAGTAGTAGTAGTAGTAGTAGTAGTAGTAGTAGTAGTAGTAGTAGTAGTAGTAGTAGTAGTAGTAGTAGTAGGAAGTAGGAAGTAGGAAGAATTAAGTAGGAACTAGAAATAGAAGTGGGGGCAGCAGCAGCAGTCGTAGCAGCAGCAGTTGTGGCGGAGGCGGCGGCGGTGGTGGCACGCTGGAGTCATGGCATCTGGCAGCAGTGCCAGTATTTGTTGTGGTCGCCCTTGTTGAGTATCAGCATGTTCGCAGTCACCGTCATCACTGGATTCCAGGCTTGCCTCTGCCCTGAACCGTTCACTCTTGCTCCCAAACCTAGGCCCAGACTTTTCAGATGAGGAGAAATCCAGCTCTCCGACAGCGGCTAGAATGCTAGGATGGTCAGATTGGTCTTGAAATCAGGACTTCACGAAACAGGGGACGGGACTCAGCCAGTGCAGCTGCATATCCGGCAGTTGTACGGTGGCACTCGACTGGATGTGCCGTTCCCACTGAAAGGGAACCCCCAGAGACTCCAAAACCCCTTCATGAAGGAATATACCTGAAGTCATATAGAGGATCCTATTTCACTGAAGCCCATTAATTAAGGAATATACCTTAAATCATATAAGGAATCCTATTACAATTGAAGGTATATTCCTCAGTTCCCTGCAGTAATCTTATAGATCCCTTTATGGAGCCCTTTAAGGAGCCCTTAAGGTATATTCCTTAATTAGGGGGTTTTGGAGGCTTTGGGTTAAAGGAACCATCGCGGCTGTCATCTTGGGCTCAGACGTGCTGCTTCCCCCTCGCCGCAATGTCGAGCCCCGCAGCCAGTGGCATCCTTAGACGGTTTAAGCTTTAGGCTTAGGGTTTAGGGTTTAGGGAATCTGTTAATCTTTTGGGCTCTTATAAGTTAGCTATATTCTGAAATATTCAACTCTGATCCGTTTTGGTATTTGGCGTGGCAGCTTTCTTCGTGGTGTGCTTCCAAGAGAACCTGAGAGCCAACGCCTTAAACGCTTGCTAGATTGTGGGTCGGGTCTGTCGCTGGCAGAAGAGGTTCGTGGCATGCAGTATCGAAATATGGGCGCAGAGCCAAAAAGCGCTACATTGACAGCCTTAGAGGACCCGGATAATGTAGGAACCTGATTAAGAAACCTTGGGCCTTTATTAGGGTTCCTTTTAGGGTTGTAGGCCCAGGGTTGCTTGATCAGGGTCCTACATTAGCTTGAAGACTTCACGACAGTCTTTGTTGGGTGGTTTGGTAGGGTTTAGGGTTTAGGGTGCAGTGTAGGGTTTAGGAATTAGGGTGTAGGGTTTTTTGGTCTTTGTTCGGGGTGGGCTAGGGGAGTTTAGGGCAGTCTTTCTTCAGGGGTTTCGTACGGTTTAGGGTGTAAGGTAGGGTTTTGGAATTAGGGTGTAGGGTTTTGTTGTTTCTCCGACTCCCCCCCTTCGCCATGAAAACACATGACACTAACCCTGAGCCATAAGGTCGCCGGAAATTCGCTAGGCCTTTCTATAACTTGGCGTTCTTCTGGTTGGCTCTTAGGACTTTAACTTTTTGGGCTTCTATACGGACTATAATAGGGAGGCTCAAAGTTTAACTTTTACTTGTAAGTCTCTAAAAATAACCAGCTACTAAGTCCCCTAAAGACCCTCCGAGCACCCTAAACCCTAAATCCTATACCCTTTTAGAATCCCTATAGATCCCTTTAAAGCACCCCTTTAAAGCAACTCTTTACAGTTACTAAGTCCCCTAAAGACCCTCCAAGTAACCCCCTTAAGGAATACCTTAACCCCAAATAACTTACCTTTTGAGGACTCATATAAGGAAATCATAATAAGGAACCCTAAAAAAGAGTAGGTTATTCAGGGTTAAGGTAGGGATAGCCGCCCAGGTGGAACCCCATCTCCTCCCGGGGAGTCGCCAGAGGCATTTGCGGTCGCACTGAGGGTTGCTTGGAGGGTCTTTAGGGGACTTAGTAACTAGAAGGGGTTCCTTTAAAGGGGTCCTTTAACGGGATCTATAGGGATTCTGTAAGGGTTTAGGGTTTAGGGGGACTTGTATCCGGTTATTTTAGGGACTTAAAAGTACCATAACCCCAATTAGGGTCCCTTTTAGGGTACGCATAAGTCTACTTACTAAGTCCCCCGACCTTTCAAGTAGGGTATAGAGACTTTGGGGTTTAGGGTTTAGGGTTCAGAGACTTTGGGGTTTAGGGTTTAGAGACTTTGGGGTTTAGGGTTTGGGGTTTAGAGACTTCGGTGTTTAGGGTTTAGAGACTTGGGGGTTTAGGGTTTAGAGACTTTGGGGTTTAGGGTTAGTTTGGGGTTTAGAGACTTTGGGGTTTAGGGTTTAGAGACTTGGGGGTTTAGGGTTTAGGGTTTAGAGACTTTGGGGTTTAGGGTTTGGGGTTTAGAGACTTTGGGGTTTAGGCTTCGGGGTTTAGAGTTTAAGTCGAAGGTTCAGGGTTTAAGTTATATTTTTGAAGATGATAATTAGGATAAGGCTGTTGGGGCGATTAAAGCATGCTCGTATTCGGGGCTATGAGAGAGAACAGGCTTTTTGGAACCTCACACGGACAACAGCAAACATAAAGTTCTTGGTATCCGGGTGGGTAGGTTTACACAGAAAGCCCAGTTGAAGGAATGTTTTAATAACGGTGAGAAGCTATAATTATATATGTTGAGGATTACATCGCCAGGAATAGATGTTCGTCGCACCGAATTATACCATCATGGACAAGCCACGGAGTACCGACAAGTGAATATTGACGTTGCCGGGCGAGCCAAAACTAGTTGGGGCTTTGGGACATTTTATATTTTCCCTTATTGGGCTTAAGAGGATCTTACCTACTAATATTTTTCAAAGGCTTTGAAAGCACCTCCTAGAAAATATATTACCACATAAACATAATGTTGCTGTCGGAGGACTGGGTGGAGGAGTCTAAGGGGGCCGGCGGTTTGCCAGGTTTTCAAGACTAACGTGCACTAGTGCGACGAAATTCGTCCTGCGGATATGTAACCGCAGCACAGCTAAGTGCCTATATAATCTTAAATCCTAAGCCACAACCCCCAACCCTGGCACAATTAAGTGGTTCCCCGTTTCGTGGCAAACCCTGCGCCCCTACTAAAGCCCAGACAGAGATAGCTCCTGTCAAACCGGCAACTCCGAAAGTATTACACGGAGACTCATTACTTAGCAGTCGAGCCTTCTAGTTCTCCAAAACACGCCTCATAGTATACCCTGACACCCTGTTGTACTTAATCAGTATAGTCTCGTGTTATGGTATGACTAAACCATTCTGGCATACCCAGTAGCACCCTTATTCCCTTTTTGTAGTCCTAGGTTCCTTATAAAGTCATCCTAGATTCTGGCATACCCCGAATCCCTGGTCCAGTTAAGGCTTTAGGGCTTGGGGTTTCGGGTTTAGGGTATAGGGTTTAGGGTATGGGGTTTAGGGTTTAGGGTTCGAGGTTCAGGGTTTAGGGCTTGGAGTTTAGGGTTCAGGGTACAGGGTTTAGGATTTAGGGTTTAGGGTTTAGGGTTCAGGGTTTAGGGTTTAGGGTTCAGGGTTTAGGGTTTAGGGTTTAGGGTTCAGGGTTTAGGGTTTAGGGTATGGGGTTAAGGGTTTAGGGTTCGAGGTTCAGGGTTTAGGGCTTGGGGTTTAGGGTTCAGGGTGCAGGGTTTAGGGTTTAGGGTTTAGGGTATAGGGTTTAGGGTTTAGGGTTCGAGGTTCAGGGTTTAGGGTATGAGGTTTAGGGTTTAGGGTTCGAGGTTCAGGGTTTAGGGTTTGGGGTTTGGGGTTTAGGGTTCAGGGTTTAGGGTTCGAGTTGAAGAGTTCTGTCCGATAGAGCGCCAAGCATGTCAAGTTCACTGGGTTGTGCTTTGGGATGATTTTTAATTTCCTAGGATGCCCAGTAGTACCCTTATTCCCTTTTTGTAGTCCTAGGTTCCTTATACAGTTACCCAATACCAAAAAGAGAGGCCTTTTTATTCTTAGGTTACTGGGTATCCTAGTTATAAAGGGAACCTATTCATAAATAATTTTCAAATGCACAACCCAGTTCAGGTTTAAGAAGACTACGGAACGAGCACTGGGTGAATTTTTTTGATCGTCCCAGATTTGTGCTTTGCACTGAACACTTCTATCCAAACAAAATGCTCGAGGTCAGATCGCATGTTTGATCAACATCGACGTGAAGCCCATTCCAAAACTTGAAGTGGAAGCCTTAATCGGCGACACTAACCCGCAACCCAAGCCCGAACCCGAGACCCGAAATCGAGTCTTTCAACCCCACAAGCCCATAGCCTCCATAAATCCGTAAGGATTGCTACAAATCTTCATAAGACCTTTT